TCACTCCAACTAGCTAGCCATCATAAAATTCATATTTTATGTGTTTTTATGCTTCTATTTGGGTCTTAACTGCTTCTAAAAATGGCCCAAGCACTTAAAAAACCATCCAGCTGTTGTTTTGGCAGTAAGTTAATGGTTTTTTGGTGGCTGGAAAATGAGCTCCAGATTATGTCACATTCCACAGGCAACGCCGTTACTTAGCAACCCCAGCTAAGCCGAGCCCATTACCTAGCAACCCAAGCAGAACTCCAACATGTTTGGTCAGCTGGTTTTACCGCTTTTATGTGTGTTTTGCTGTTAACTTATCATCCAGAAACCACTTGCTTCATACTTGTTGGTTGCACAGGAGGCTCCACTTCTGTTTTTCACAGATTTACAATAAATAGGATGAGCAACGAGCACAAGCTGCCAGTAGGTCGACAGAGAACTGTACTGTCTGCAATCAAAGTGAATGGGTGGTTTTTTAAAGCTCCATCCTGATGCAGTTTAGATCAGTGCCTAAAAATCTACAGTGCTGCTTCTACACTGCAAAAACAGAAAGTCTGACCAAGTATTTTTGTCTAGTTTTTAGTGCAAATATCTTATTACACAAATACTTTCACTTCTACCATGGGGAAATTTCTTTTTATAAGTGAAATTACTACTACTTTTTCATCAATACTAAGGAGTTATTTACCTATGACATTCTGAAATGTTACTTTTGAGTCAGTTTTATCTTATTTCAAGTGTATTAAAGTATTTTCGCTAGAAACTAGACCAAAATTTTATATTTTTGCAGTGTGCTGAAGATTTGAAGATTCTCTGCAACACAACATGTTTTTTCTTGGGGGGGCGGGGGGTTGACAAACATTTGCTTTCTTGCTGATGAAATACACAAACAAAAAAGCCCAAAAATTTCTAACAATGCACTTTGAATTTTTTTTTTAAGTTGTTAATTTTTATTTTGTAAGGGAATACCGTACTTTCTGGACTACAAGTCAGACCTTTTCACAGTTTGACTGGTCCTGTGACTTGTAATCCAGGAAATCCAGCATTTTGTTGAGGTTTCCTACTCAGTCTTAAAATCTGTAAGTAACTACCAACATTATGATTTTCAACTAAGAGAGCACTGAATGCAGTTTTCTGGCCGAATCAGAGTTTGACCAATAATACATTTAATTAAATTGAATTAGCCATTTCTCCTCCATACAAAATTCACAGCAGAATGTTTCGTATAATTTTCTCTAACTGTAAGAAAAATGCATTAACTCCACTCAGCTGCAAGCGAAGGTGGCGCTGCTCAGCGGAGCTGCTACTCGTCTTTTGTTTTGTAAACAGAAATGAGCTGAACTGTCTGAGGCCGAGTGGAGTATGTACATAGTTACAGTTTACACACATTGCACAACTGTTAGCTCTCCCCCTGCAGCACAATCACGTTTTATCTAAGACTGTGAGAGTTTTTCTTTTGTTTACCGAGTCGCTCTGTGAACCTGCACCGACCCCGTCATTTCTTACCAAGCTGCATGAGTAAAATAAGTTCTAGTAAGCTCGTATTATAGCCGTTACATAATAATAATAATCATAATTGATGACTGTATGAGGTTTTTATGATGTAAAGCACTTTTTTACTTCCTTGTTGATTAAATGTGCTATGCAGAAAAACGGAAACATGACAAAAATAATAACATATAAACAGTAAAAAACGTAGAAAAGATTATATTTAGGTCTGTCACAATAAGCAATAAATCAATTAATCGCATCATAAATTGAATCATTTTTCTCTTTCTACCAAAAACTGGATGATACAAGTTTCAGTTTGGTGTTTTGGTCTCAATTAGCCTTTTTTAAGGTTAATTTTGTTTTACAGAGACTTCATAGTTAATTTTATTTGTTGTTTTGTTTATTTATTTTGTATATTTAAAATATCTTCCAGTTCTAGTGTTAAATGGCTTTAGAATTTAAAGTTTATTGATCTTTGAGAATGTGTTTATGTATTATGTCATTATTACCATTATGTCACTCAGATATGATATCAAAACAACAATATTATCGTGTATCGCAATAAACTCTGAGACAATTTACTGTGCAGGAAAATGTGTTACCGTGACAGCGTTAATCGTAGTAGCTGCTACAAAAGTCTAAAATATCTTTATTTAAAGTCAAAGTATGACTTTAACATGTCTTACATTTAAATGATCACAATAATATGGCTCCCTTCAGTGTCTAATGGTCGCACCAGTCCCGTTTAGTTTAGTCTTCTTTGTTTGTCTAGGAAGTCCAGTTCGGTTGGTTAGGTGTGAATGCTAATCAAACTCTGGTTCGCCAAAAACCTTGGACTTGGTACAATGGAAGTGAACTCTGGTGCGGTTCGAATGTATATGAGAATACCAAGCGGACCGGAAACTGCTCCAAAATTATGAAGCAGACTGCAACACAGGGCATTCTGGGTAAATACAACCACATTAAACACGCTAAGCTAGTGCTAGCAGGAGAAATGGCTCAAAGACTTTTGTCAAAGACAAAAGAGAAATCCTACAGCCACTAAAACCTGACACCGCCCTATTTTTGCTTACATTTTGTGAAGACGGAAGTTGGTCTCTGTGTCTTCTTCAGAGGTTTTTCTGTAATTTACTCTAGTGGTTCTTGTTGCAGCGCCCCCTCAGGTGAGGAGGGGAACAGGTTGGGCTTGATTGGTTTGGGAAACCCAGCAACTGAAAATGCAACAAATCCTGCAATTTTGGTCCTCAATCAAACCGAGTCCACTGGACTATCAGGTGTGAACCATCAGCCTTTGATAACTTATTTACACCGGTTGGGATTTATTTATTATTTATATAATATTGGGTAGCAGAAAATTCAACTTTAACACTATAAACTATGGAGTTTTTTATTGACTAATTTCCAAAATAAAGAAACACCAGTTCTTAGCATTTCATTCAGGTTTTATTTCATACTCTTCCTGACCTACAATGGGCACCAGACGAACCAGTGGTTGAGTAATATCAGGTGGTTTCCCTGCTGCGCTTTGATCTCTGACAGTATAAACAGTTTTATTTTTCCAGGGGTCTCCGGGGAAAACGCCATGCCGTCAGCTTTGATGTCTGGTTTTATCAAGCAATAACACAGAGCAGAGAGAGGAGTGTGACCCGACAGGAGCGGCTCACCGGATCTGATAACCCGTCCATGCGCCGCTACAGGTGCCGCTACATCCCAGCAGCGCTGCACTCTATTTTTCATGAGCCCAGTTGGTTGCCAGGGTTTCTGTTACCATGGCCGTGCTGCAGTGTGATGCAACAGAAACCGAGGCAGAACCCCCTCCTTACTGCTTCCCCTGTTGCTTTGGCCCAAAACCAGGTCAGGAAGAGCTACAAGACTGTAAAACGGCCAATTCTGCAACAGCTTCTCACCACTTCACGTCCGGTGAGATGATCCAAACTCTATCAGCATATCTTCATGTGATAAAACCCGTAAATTAGGTTAAAAAGCAGCAGAAAACAGCAAAAATGGTAAGTCTGCAGATTTAACTCAGACAGAAATGAATATAGACTTACTGAGAAAGAAATGCAAACTTTTAGTTGTCAGTCGATTGTTTTGACAATTAATTTAAAAAAATTGCATATTGTGCAAATTTTCTCAGTTAAGCTGTTTTATACAATATTAGAACAACATTAAAAGATGCAAATTAAAAACAGTTTTTAAAACAAGAAAATAAACATTTTGTTGCCTAAAATACAACAACAGCATTCGCTTAGCGAATATTTGGTCATTAGATTAGTCATTGCTCCAGCAAACACCCACAGACAGACTCTACAGAAAGAAATAATCTCTGAAACGTCTAATAATTTCCCCTGGGACTCATTTCTACATTTGGATTCATTAGCAGCACAAACTTCACTGCATTTCATGTGACAGAGGAACAAAAAGCTGGGTTTGTTTCTGGAGGAGTGGCAACCAAGAAACAGTTTGTTGACAGAACTCCAAAGAAGAAAAGTAACACCGCACATCACTCTTAGCACACCAACCCCAAAGGTGGTGGCAGCATCATGCTGTGGGGATGATTCTCTAAACCAGGAGCAGAGAAGCTGACTGAACTCGATTGGAAGTTAAATCACAGCAAAAACACAAAATCTTACCAGGTATCTTAAACTTAAAATAAGACAAAACTAACTTACATTGAGATTGGAGCTTGTTTTAAGTAAAACATTCCTTAATGTTGATGAAAAAGTATTAGCTCCACTGGCAGATTATTTCATTTATAAAATTGGAAAATGTTTTGTTACAAGTGAAATAATCTGTCAGTGGAAGTAGAACATTTTTAACCAGTATTAATAAATGATTAATAATTAAAGAAGTGCTTAAATCTTGCTGAAAAGTTACTTGTAAATTAGTTTAGTCTTATTTCAAGTGTTCTGAGATATTTGCACTAGAAATAAGACAAAAATGTTTGGTTAGATTTTGTGTTTTTGCAGTTTAATTAATAACCTGTAGTGTGATAACTGATATTGATGCACAACCAGAACCAACATTTGTTGATGCTGTGACAAATGTGGGTCATGAAAATATTGTAGTGAAAATAAACTAAAGCAGAAGCGTAAATTTGAGTGTACTCTTCCTTTTGTGTGTCAGACACCGCAAAAACACAAGATTACCAAGTACTTCTCGTCTAATTTCTAGTATAAATATTAATAGACTTGAAATAAGTCAAAACTATCTTAAAATAACTTTTTAGCAAGATACAGGAGCTTTTTTCACAGTGCAATTCATTAATACTGATTTTAAGAAACTACTAGATTCATTGGCAGATTGTTTCCCTTATAATCTGGTTTATAAGGGAAATAATCTGCCAACAAACATTTATCTTTTCTTAAATATTGAGGAATTATTTACTTAAATAAGCTCTTATCTCTTGCTGAAAAGTTACTTGTAAGTTAGTTTTGTCTTATTTCAACCTTACCGTTTGCAGTAGAAACTTGATAATGTTTTGTGTTTTTGTCTTTTAATCTGAGAAGAAGCCGTCCTACCTGGATTATTGGCCTCTCCCTCCAGGACCTGCAGCTCTGTGCATTCAGCCAGGGAGTGCTCCAGGCACACCTGCAGGAATCGGGCCTGGGTCCGGCTCACCCTCTTCAGCAGCGACACCAGAGCCACGGTCTGCTCGCACTCGTTCCATCCCTTAAACCAGCTGGCCAGCACGCCCACCTGATCCCGAAACATCATGGTCTGCCGGGCGGGACGGACGAGGCGCCGCCGGATGCGGTGGGACGTCCCAGATGGCGGATAAATCCCGTCTGGAGGGGCTTCCACACCACCTTCGATTCCCGATAATCTCCTTTGCTGAGCGAGTGAGAGACAGGAGGAGAGGAGAGGCGGATCCGGCTCTAAGCAGGCATGGGGTGATCGGATCTGCTTCTGGCGGCACGGTGGATCTCAGATGGGATTGATCGGTGTCAAGTCAGCTCTTTTCCAGCTCTAGCTGTGTCACAGCAGCTTCAGTCTGTGGCATTTTCCTTCAGGGAATCCCCTGTCAGGCCTGCAGGCAGACGTCAGGCATTAGAAGAGAAGCATGTTCAACAGGGAAACTGCAACTTCGTACTTCCTGAGGCACGTCATTTACACAAGCACAAAACAACAGCTGTTCAAATTTCACATTTTTGTACTTCCATTAGGTCTCAGCTGCTTCTAAAAACCATTTTTTTGTTTTCTTGGTGTCAGGAAAACTAGCCGTTTCAAAAACCTCCAGATTGTTGAGCAACATTCCATGAGCACTGTGCTGTTGCCTAGCAACCCCAGCGAAACTCCAGCCTGTTGCCTAGCAACCCCAGAAGAACTCAAGCCCTGTTACCTAGCAACCCCAGCGGAACTCTAGCCCTGTTACCTAGAAACCCCAGCGGAACTCTAACCCCGTTACCTAGCAACCCCAGAGGAACTCCAGCATGTATCCACATTTTTGTACTTACATTTGGGTCACAACTACTTCTAAACAGACATTCAAATTCAATGTAACAATACTCCATTGATCCTAAAATGAAATTAAATAAAACTACGTGGTTAAATAGTGATTCTTGAGAATAGGGACAAAACAGGTCCTATGGATAAAGC